CCCAATAGCTAGCAATCCAAAACAGTCCAGTGGAGCCTGAGCGGTGGGTGTTGCCTTCTGACACACTTCCGGTGATGTCAGGGGGTGTGGCATATGCAAATGAGTTATGCAAATGAGTTATGCTAATGAGCTCCTGCATCTCTTTTTCTACGAAATGACCCCTGGTCAGACCCAGGCAAACCATCCCAGGGCACAGCTGCACAGCACCCATCATCCCTTGTCCAGTGGTGCCAGATGTTGCTGCCCAGGGGCAGGGGGTTGGAGCCACAACTGCAGTCCCTTCGGGGGGGTCTCTATAGCTGCAGGGGCATCAACAACGCAGCCCCCCACCCAAAGCTGCAGCTGAGCAACCCCTGGGAGAGGAATCGGGGGCGGTGGGGGTGCTACGCCCACATTGTTTGGCAGAGCTGCAACGGGTCAAAAAAGGTCACAGCAGAGGCAAGAAGATGTAAAAATAAAGACAAAGATTTTATCCAGCTCTTATTTTCAAGTTCTGTGCATGAATGTTGTGGCACTTTGAATCCGCAAAGGGCTTTGGTGATCTGGGCATGTTTGCCACAAAGGCTGAGCAGGAACCATGTTAAAAATGAATTAAACAGAACAGATCCATTTATTGTACAAGGCACTTCCAATACAAGTTAAAAACATAGGCCTTGAATTTAGTTTTTGGACTGAAAGTCACTCGCCTAAGTAGTCCTCATTAAATAAAACAAATCACTATCTACAGTCACAAGAAACAGGACCAGACGTGTTTCGGCCCAAGGGGCCTTCTTTAGTGGGTCACTGATACACAGATACACGTGCACAACCAAGGCAAGAACACGGTTGGCGTAATAAAGCCAAAAGAGGCGTTGACTGATTCGTGCACATTTTATGTTGTGTGGCCGGCCAACGGTGCCATTGTCAGGACGATGGCCCTTGTTCCACGATTTCTGCGGTGACACATAAACATGTACGGTCGTGAATGATATCGAATTTTGGCAGTTCGTTCCTTGGTGGTGCGTATGTATACATCAAGCATTCTGCACACGTTCAGAAGCAGACGGCTGCATTTGCGCTACTGCATCACATGCTCAAGGCTGCACCCACAGTGGAAAACAGGTTTGTGGGCGACCCCTGGCCACCAGCAGAGCGCAACGTGGTCTCCCCCCCCCCATGTCTCCAAGCTCCCCCCACCTGCCTATCCAGGGCCGTGACTCCAGGAGGAGGACTGCTCCACCCCCACCCCCCACAGCCCCAGCCCTCATGGCCCACCTCGTTGGTGTTCCATCGCAGCCGCTCCGTGGGCAGAGCTGGGCACTTGGGCACACAATCCACCAGCTTCTTGGGCAGGAAAACCTTCAGGTGGTGGCTGTTCTCTGGGAGGAGAAGAGAAGGGCGGAGAGTGAGAGGGAGTGGGAGGCAGGCACCCACCCGGGAGGCTCTCTGGGAAGGGCTCCGGGGGTGGGGGGGTGACCCTCCACATCACCCGCTGCCTGGTCCTTCTCACTGGAGACGCCGGGGGAGAGTGGAACTGTGACTTTCTGCCTGCAAAGCAGAGGCTCCACCCAGCCCTTTGCCTGGCAGCGGCTCTCCAAAACACTGGGCACCCGGAGGCCTTTCCCAGCAACTCACCGCCACTGCACACACCAAGACTTGAACCCAGGACCTCCTGCAGGCAAAGCTGGACCTCCCCCAGAGAGGCTTGGCAAACCTTCACCCCTTTGCCCTCTGCCACTTCCCCCGCCTAAATCTCCTGGCGGGTATTAGTGTCAGGGGGGGGGCTGCCTCTTTCCCCCAGGGACAAAGGGGGGGGGCAACTGAGATGTGGGAAACAGTGCAGAGAGAAAAGGGTTAACACCCCCCCTCCCCATCTTCAGGGCAGCCCTGGGGAGCTGCAGCTGCAGGACTTCCGGGGGGTGGGGTGGGGGGGGCGTTTCCTCACAAGTTCCATCTCCTTTGAGCCTCTCCCCATCTCCCCCCCCCCCCATGCAGGATGCCAAAGTGAGGAAATGCAGAGAGGGCGAGGGTGGCACCCCCCACTTCAGACTGCTGCCAGGGGTGGGGGACCAACTCTGGCACCCTTCCCCCATGTGGCAATGCTGAGCGCCTCCCCCCACGAAGAAACCTAGCAGATCAGGGAGGGGCTCGAGTCCAGCCTCCCCCCTTGTGAATACGTATAAAAACCTTTATTCCATTCAGATCCGGTCTTTCTCCCCCGCCGTGACTCAGAGTGTCTCACGTCCTTTCCCTCTCCTCCGTTTTATCACCACAACAACCCTGTGAGGTAGGTCGGGTGGAAAGTCTGTGTGACCAGGCCAAGGTCACCCAGCGAGTTGCCCTGACAGAGTCGGGATCTGAACCCGGGCCCCTCAAAGCCTCCTCTGGCACGCCAAGCACTGTACCACACCAGCGGTATTCTATGCAGAAAGCATTTTGCTTTTAAGCATGGGGGCACATCGAAAAATTAGTATTTATTTAAAATATTCACATCCCCCACCTTCCCTTCCAGAGCTCAAGGCAGCCAGTCTGCTCGACTGGAGTCCAGGAGCTCCTTGGAAGCCAGCAAGATTTTCGGGGTGCGCACTTTCAAGGCGCAAAGCCCCCTTTGTCAGATACGAGCCAGAACGGAGACCCCTGAGCCCTTCTATGGCTTAAGGGCGGAGGTGGGAGGGCACCTAACGTGAACCCCACCCTCACTGTGAAGTGCGGCCGCCTCTCCGACCGCATCTTGACCCCCACCAAGTTCTGGTTCGGATCGCGCCCTCCGGGGTCCTCTGCGGAATGGCACCGATTCACGGGCTTTGTCCTGGGAACTGCCAAGTTATGTTCTTGGCCAGAGAGGCCCCCAAAGCCACACACAAGGGCAACCGGAGAACCTACAAGCTGCAATAAGAAGGCCGTTGAGTGCATCTGAGGGCCAGAACCCCAAGGAGCAGTGGACCGAACAAAACGGACATCCAGCAGGCTGCCCACCCCGCGCCCCACACACACCGGCCGAGTTCTGTTAACAAACACAGTGGCCCGGAGAAGCCGTTTTGCACACAGAGCCTTTCTGCTGGTGTCCAACTGATACCTGTGGAGGACCACAGCCGGCACCCCCGGGGCCTGGGCACTGCTGCTGAGCTGGCCCCACGGCCCCCACATCACCCCTAAAGGGCTCCTGCTTGCACAGAGGGGACAGCGGGTCAGGAGGCCGCCTCCCCACAGCGGCTTCTGCAGACAGCAGAGTGGAATGGCGGAGGGGTGGGGCTGTCGCTGCACCCGCCTGGCATGCGAGAAGGCCCCCGGTTCCACCCCTGGCAGTGCCAGTCCAAGGGCCCAGGGGACGGACCTTGGCCGGAGACCCGGAGAGCTGCTGCCAGGCAGAGTGACCTGGCTAGACCAAGGGGTGTGTTGGGGGAGGGAGCAGGGTAGGCAGCATCAGGTGGGGACCAGCTGCTGGGGACAGAGCCTCGAGGACTCCCGGGGGGCTCGGTGTGTGCCGTGGGGTCTACAGCAGGGGTGGCCAAAACTGCTCAACGTAAGAGCCATGCGGAATAAACGTCAGGTGTTTGAAAGCCACAAGACATGAACAAATATCACACACATGTTTTTATTGGACAATAGGCAGATTTGCTTATGAGACCGCCAAAATAAAACAAAAGGGGTAAAAATAGATCAATACATCGAAAGCATTATTATTATATTGATAATATTTGTCCAATGATATTTGTAGGCTTGGGGGGGGCTTAGTGAACGCACTTTCTCTGCTCCCCCCTGCCTCAAGCCTACCCAGGGAGGGGAAGACTGGCTGGGGAAGGGGAGACCGGTCAGGGAGGCCTGCCTCCCCTTCGCTTCCCCAGCGGCCCTGCCGGGAGCCACAAAATATGCATGGAAGAGCCACATGTGGTTCCCGAGCCACAGTTTGGCCACCCCTGGACTACCAAATCAGACTAGAATCTGGGAGGCCTGAGTTCGAATTACTGCTTCTGCCTTGGAAGCTCGCTGGGTGACTCTGGGGCAGTCACACCCTCTCAGCCTCTCCTATGCCACAGGGTTGTTGTGAGGATAAAATGGAAGAGAATAGAAGGATGTCAACTGCGCTGGGTTCCCACTGGGGAGAAAGGGGGGGGGAGGTACAAATGAAGCAACTAAAAAAAATAAACATTGTTTAGACGTGGCAAAGGTGTCTTCTTCTGTTGTCCTCCAGGACAGCCACAAGACGATCGGGGACAGGAACCAAGCCATGCGCCCTGTATGCCGGCCCTCGTGATGGGGGGGGCAGAATAAACCCCCCAGGCAGGAAACCCGGGGTCCTACTCACCAGATACCCCTGTGGTTTCCTTGTTCATCTTTGGGATTCTGCGTCGTGACACTGTTAGAGTTCTTGGCCGGGAGGGCTCAGGTCCGGACATGGGAAGATTGGGATGGGACCTGGAGACGGAGGGGGCGGGGCGGGGGACAGGAAGAGGAGGAGGAATGGAAGGAAGTGATTGGCACACGGGGCCTCCCCGAGGCCTCCTGTGCCCCCCAGGATCCCTGTGAGCTACCCCCTCCTCTTTCCCACCTGGCTCCAACCCCACTCTCCACGGCCGGTTTCTTCCCTTCCCCAGCGGCCTGCCACCCCGACACAACCCCCCCCCACACACACACAGCCCACTCTTTGTGCACCAAGAGCCCAGGAGCCCCAGACAGGCCGGCCAACAGCATCCCCAGGGCAGAGTCTTTCAGGGGGCCACACACACAAAGGCCCCGTCACGTGCCTGATGGCGGAAGACCCTGCCTGGGCACAGAGGTATTGATTCCTAGACGGACGGATGGCCTCAGTATGAAGGCGGAGGGGGGGTGCTGGAGAGGCACAGCCCACTGCCCGTCTGTGACCCCTCCCGTTCCTTGCAGCTGGTAGCTCAGAGGTCGCTTCTCAAGGGGCCGTGCAGGTCGAGAAAGAGGTCCTTTTCTCCCTTTCTCGCAATACAAGAACTCCTTGTGAGCACTCAATGAAATTGCTGAGCAGTCGGGGTATAATGGATAAAAGGAAGTCCTTCTTCACCCAAAGAGTGATTAACACACGGAATTCACTGCCACAGGAGGAGGTGGCGGCGGCGGCTAACAAGCATGGACGGCTTCAAAGGGGAATTAGATAAACATATGGAGCAGAGGTCCCTCAGTGGCTATGAGACACAAGGTATAGATAGGAGCTCTCTGTCTGGGGCAAGGGATGCTCTGTCTTCTTGGTGCTTGGGGGGGGGGCAACAGTGGGAGGGCTTCTAGTGTCCTGGCCCCACTGCTGGACCTCCTGATGGCGCCTGGTGTTTTTGGCCCCTGTGTGACACAGAAGAGTGTTGGACTGGAGGGGCCACTGGCCTGATCCAGCATTGGCTTCTCTGCTGTTCTTATGCCAGCAAGTCCTTCGGGAACAGAGGGAGGCAAATTGACACTCTGGGTGCCAGGCGCTCGAGTGGGTGCTGGTGGGGGCCTGAGCTCCACCCCTTCTCTTGGAGGGTGCCGGCTAGCTAGCCCCACTCCGCTACGGCTTCCAGCCCAGGTACGCAGTGGAAAGGGCCGCCGTGGCTGCCCACCTGTCCTAGGGGGAGGCGGCACAGTGAGGCTCCGCCGAGTCTCTTGGCAGCGCCTGACTCCATCGGCCAGAGCCTCCGCCTGGGCTACTTGCTTGGGACGGGGCGCCACGCTCCGCTGGCTCTGCTCTTGCCTGTCGAGCAGGTTCTAGAAGAAGCGGGTGCTGCCGGACTCTGGCTCCGCTCTGTGGCATTCATGCCCAGGGCCTCCTGGGGGCTCGCTTTTGTCCCCCCACCCCTGCGCTACTTCACGCCTGCAGGAAATCCCTCGGTGAGACCACTGGGGTGAGATATCAAGGGGATACCAGTCTCCCAGTGACCCACAACTCTGCACTCTCTCTTTCGTCCACGCCTGGGGAAGCCGTAGACATTCCCAAGAGGGTTGGAGGAGAGCTAATAAACTGAAACTCAATCCAGACGAGACAGGGGATCTGCCGGCAGGCCATCTATGCCAGGAGGGTGGGGACTGCCCTCTGGCGAATGAGGTCCCACTGCCCCTCACAGCTTGGGAGGGGGGTGACTAGAAGCCGCTCAGAGGCGGGGTGCCCATGGGTGGCACTCGGCCCTTCTGGCCAGTTTCAGCCAGGATGGCAGCTGCATCCGTTTCTGGACACGGGTCATCTGGCTGCTGTGATGCACACTCTGATCGCAACCAGTCTGGACTAACCCTCGCGTCTCCCACAAAGAGCCTCTGAAGGCTGCCTGGGAACCTTGTCCAGAACCCAGAGTCACCCTTGGTGGTGTCTTCCCCCAGGCCCCGTGCAGAGTGCCGGCTTTCACCGACCACGTCCAGGACCACGGGCGACTGGGCAAACCTGCCCCTCAGCACAGAAGGTCTGCCTCACGGGCCTCTCTCCCTGGGGGCCCTGGGGACCCCGGAGAGAGAGCCCTGGCCCTGGCAGTGCCCGGTGCCTTAACCCTGCCCGGTGTGGCTCATCTCTGCTGCCCGTGTGCCGGGTGCGATCTGCTTCCTCCACCAGGAACTCTCTGGGGCTGTCTCCCTCCGGCAGCCGTCGGGATTCTCGCTGGAGAGGGTCTCCTGGAGAGGGTCTCCAGGTCAACGGAGGGTGCAGCACGCAGGGACCGACCGGGAGGCAAGCAGAGGGACCCACCGTGCCCGGCCTTGGCTTGCCCTACAACCCCTCTGCCCATCAGCCCGCTGGCGAGGGCCGGGCCCCTTCGTGCCCCCGTCCAGAGCCAGGCAGCTTCTGCCAGGAGACGCCCCCCCCCCGCGCAGGACTCTTCTTCTGTCTGCTGCAGCGACCGGACCCACGGCGGGGGTGGGCGGGTGGGGGGTGGTCCGCACCAGAGAAGAGGGTCTGCCCCCCCCAACC